GTATTTCGGGCTGAAATTAAATCTCTTAGTATAATTTTCGACGCTCTATCCAAATTTTCGACTTTTTTAAACATTTTTCTGCTTTTTAAAAGTTTTTTTGATTCTTTCGCCTACAAAAACCGCCGTTTGCCCACATTGCTTCACCCTACCCCCACTCACCGCTTGCCTTCCATTCATCACCGACGCACGAAATTTTGTATAGCGTCCGCGCACTGTTGTAAAGCTGATTGTCTGCATCGATCCTGGCCCTAAGCAGTTTAATTGTCGCGGCACTTGCTCCTCTCGTCGAATGCTTGATGAAGGCAATGTCATCCATGATGCTCGCCGGTTCCCAGCCCATCTCAAGGGCCAAGCGCAAATCCCTGAATTTGGCATTCATTAAGCAAAAAGTTCATCAACCGGCACATGGTCGTCTTCAACCCGCTTGGCAGTGCTTCCGTGTCGTTACTCTGAACAGCAATTTTTTTGAAGGTTGGTTAAACCTCGACAATGCGCAACCAGCGCTGTTTGAAAGCCGTGCCCCAGCTGGAGTGAGCAGACGCCAGCGGAGCCAAGAAAAGCAATGACAGTACATAGGAAAATGCAGCCATTTTTGGGGAGTTGGAAGCAAAATGAAATTTGGCAAATGAAAGTAGGAAGCAAAGATGCCCCCAAAACTATGATTCACCTGCAATCAAAAAATTCATTTAGGAACCTTGCATGTTTTGACGAGCTGGGCGAAGCAGAGAAAATAAATTTTGATTACATTTCACTTGCAATCAGCGAAAGTGAATTCGCTTGATTCCGCCAAAACACAGAGTTTTAGGAAATTTTGGTTTCCTTGAGCGCTCTATTGCGCCATACGCCGGAAGTGCGGCGTTTTAAGATCTAGCAAATTTACCCGACGAGTCCAGGTTAACAAATAATCCGTCCAAAGAGCCAAAGTTGCAGGAAATGGCGGAGCTAACCCTGATAAGCCTGTTGTTCGCTTCGCGACTTTTCAACCCTGGCCCCGTCAGACCCCATTTTATCCCCCACTTTGCATAATTGTCGAATCTAGATGAAAAAAATGAAAAGCAACCTATTCTGTCCCTTTATATAGTCGAACCGCCACTTCCAGTCAATCCTAATTGTTTCTTAACAACGAAGTTTTCACAAAATTGATCTTTAAAGTGCACGTTCAGGGAGGGGCCGTGTACTCGTCCCAACGTGTACACCCTATGGACGTAGGGACCGCGCGCACTGCCTGCCCGTGGAGTGGCAGGCAATTTCTCTCCTTTGCGGCGTGGGGCGCCCCTCATCCCCTCGCCAGGTTGTAGCTGTGGCTGACTGGTATTCATCCGCGCCTCCCGAGCGGAGGATCCGGGTTCGACCCCCGGCCGCGGTAAAAATCTTTGCTTTTTCCAAACCTCCCTGAACGTGCCCTTTAATGTCGAAAATGGGTGGCTTTGATAAATCTGATATGCGTGCAGTCACCTCCAAACCATTACGCACCAAACGACGTATAATATGGATCATAAAATTCATCACACTTTATCCTCCGGACGTAGAGACCGAAGTTGCATGCAAATCTACACACGCGCAGACACTATTTTTTATATATAGTAGGATCAAATCCATTTGAAACCAATTTGATTTCAGTAAACGCCACTCTAGTTTGTAAGGAGCGAAGCGAAGGCAATTTTTCTTTAGTTATATAAAGAATTCAGTTGCTAGTGAAAATCCATCTGACTGCGATCACTATATTTATTGTTGCGCGACCCGAGCGGTTAACGATAATTTTTTCAAATTTGGGTTTCATTTTCATTCCATTTATTTCCACAACAGCGTAATTTCTTTTAATTTCCTGAACCACATGGGACGGGCACTGGGTAGGGCTCAGCGGTAGGCACGGGTTTTGGGAAGCTCGGAGTGGTCGTGTCGCTCGGCCAGTTAGGAGTCGAGGTCTGGGCCGGAGGCGGGCGCGGAACGACAAGGAACCGGTAGAGGTATTTGGCCAGCTCCAGGTAACGCCCCTTCCGATTCATTAAAAATTCCAATTGAACAAATTGATTCCTAACGAAGAGGGGCTCGGCTTTTTCAACAAAACCTAAATTTGATGTAGACATAGGCAATTTTTGCACATCTTATGCGGGCAGTCGCCAGCGCGCAACCATGACGCATTTAATGACGTATGATACGTATCTTTTTCCTTACATTTCTTCCTATCTTCCTCTTCCTAGCCTTGTTACGCTCTAGGTGCTTACCACGTAAACAACCAACCAACCACTTTTAATTTCATCGTCGTGGCTGGGTTGGGACCGCTTTTGCTGGAACAAGCCGCGGACATCATTGGCCTGACGGAGATGCGCGCTGTGCTCGGCTATGGACCCGGGCCATGGACCCACTATAGAGAGGTGAAGGAGGAAGAGCTGGTATCCGTCGAAGCCTACTACCAGCTCAAAGAACCGCGGAGTCGACGACGATCCTTGGATATCCTTTATTACTATGAGCGCAATATGGTAGCCCCGATCGCATATCTCGACAAGCGTTTCCCTACCATTCGCACAATTTTTGGCAAAAAGTTTAGAGATGTTGGCGCAGCCGCTACGTCATTAGATCGGAAGCTGGTTGATCGAATGATTAATGAGTTTTCTGCGCTCAGCACAAGAATAAAACGCGATAGCTTCAAGGATGGTTGTGAATGGTTGAGCGGGCGTGTTGAGAAGTGAAGGGTACAAACATATAAAATTATCAATTCGATAAAGAGATAAAAATAGACTTTATGGGTTGCACACAGGAGCATGGTAATCTATCATAGCTAACCCTCTCTCATTCTCTCGCTTTCTCTCTCTCTCTCTCTCGCTTTCTCTCGCTCTCTTTCTCCGGCTTTTGCCTTTCAAATACACTTGGTTCCACAAAGTACAAATGGACAAAAGCTCCTGATAGCCACGTGAGGGAAATGCGGAGATACCAGGGATATATTGCGTTATGATCCGGAAATGAGGTCGACTGAGCCACCTCCTTTCTCCCCTCAGTGCTCCTCGCCAGCGGCTATGTTTATCCTAATCAGCACATCTGCATGATCATCCAGCGGCTTAAATGATGTGTATTTTTATCTCGTTTTCTGCAAATTTCAATCATAAAATTTGGGTTGCAATTTCAGGAAATTAATGACAGTTACGCGAGCAGTTGTTATCAGTTTTGCCGTGGTTTTGTCTACCGGTAAGGATGAAACTTATACGAATGCTATATTTCACGTAGCTGTTTCAGCTATGGTATTCCTTCGGTGGTAAGGAGCTAAGTAGAAAGGACTCATACAAATATTGATTAACTGGAAATTTAACTTAAGAAATAAGCAGATTTCAGGAGGTGTGGCGACCTTGAGCACCACTAACCCGACGTCAACGTCGACGACAACTGCCGCGGAAAACAGTACGTCCACTGAGCATGAGAAAACTTCACAACCACTCATCGACAAGGAGATGGCTGTCATCGCGGAGCACTGTATGACTATTGAGGAATACGAGCAGCTGACTGGTAATAAAACAAGGTATGTGATGTACCGCGTGAACCAAAAAATCTGGCCTTCCGCCATGACCGCTCGAGAGAGAGAGAGAAAGAGAGAGACAGAGAGAGACAGAGAGATAGTACAAGGACAAGGAGAGTCAGAGAGGGAGGGAGCGAAAGTGAAAGAGAGAGAACCAGAGAGAGCGAGAGAGAGAGAGAGCCAGAGAGAGAGAGAGAGAGAGAGAGAGAGAGAGAGAGAGAGAGAGCGAAAGCGGAAGAGAGAGGAGAGCGAGAGGGAGAGAGAGCCAGAGAGAGCGAGAGAGCGAAAGGGAGCGAGCGAGAGGGAGAGATAGATCCAGAGAGAGTGAATGACGGGGTAGAGCTCGACGGAGAGAGAGAGAGAGCCAGCGAAAGAGCGAGAACGAGAGAAAGCGAGAGAGAGCCAGACCGAGCGGGAAAGAGAGCGAGGGAAGGGGAGAGAGCGAGCGAGCGATACAGGGAGAGATTTGGCACTTTCAAACACCTAGCATCTAAAAGTGTTTGGGTAGAGAAGGGGCGATTTTTTTGGACACCCACTATACTGGACCATGGCGGCAAAACCGCCAAGCGGTTTTACGGCCTTCGTGTTACGATCAACCAGTAATCAGTAATATTTTAGGGACGGCGCCATTCAGTCTGTGGGCAGGGAAATGTTCCGAGCTGCCGTCGATATCATTGGAAATACAGAGATGCGTACCGTTCTCGACTTTCCCTTGACGGAGCCGTGGAAGAACTTCAGCATCCCACTTTCAGGGCGAACCGGAAGCCGCCCCAACCCTCGAAGCCTACTACAATCAAAAGGAATCGGAATTACTTGTTGGCTCCATTATTAGAACCTCATTGTATGAAAACGACTTGCCATCCGCCATCGCTTTTGTTGACGAGCGTTTCCCCGCGATTCGCAAAATTTTCCGGCAAAGTTTTGAGGCCATTCGTGGGCCGGGCGTGATGGTAGATAGAGATATAATAACTCAGAAAAGCCGAGTGGATTTTGCTATCGTTTTCCATCGCCAGATCCTCAAAAAATACCAGGTCTAGTTTCTGCTTAAGAAAACACGTTTCTGTTTTTAAGGAGCCGTGATGCATATTTGTTGGGAGTACCTCAAAATCTGAAACAAAACACATTTATTCAGGCACAAATTCACGCAGCGCTACCTCCATATCATCCTTTAATTTCTCCAGAGCGGAATTGTAAATGCGCGCGTGAGGCAAATACTTTTCAAAGGATTTCTCATAACTGTCGGCTGTAGCTCGCATCGCTGCGCACATTTTTTCGCCGATTTGAAACTTGGAGAGCTCGGGGACCCGTTTCAAGCCCTCCTCACATGCCTCCAGAAGACTCTTTTGATTCCTCGAAATTGCCGCGTGAATCCCTTCGATGTTTCCGTGCAACCCGGTGTAGAATTGGGTCAGAAACGCGCGTGTTTCTGCTTCTGTATCAGCTAACAAAGTGGCGTGGAATTCTCCGTATTCATGAGTCTTATGGTCTCTTAGACAGCATAGTGGGCAGATGAACCGCTGGCAGTCTTTGCATACAAACATGTCATTTTGCTCCCAGATCCGATCGCAACTATCGCAGTCGGATGTCGTTGCGCCAGCTTCTTCCACTTTGCTAGGGTTTTTCTTCTTCTTACCACGAGCGCCTCTTTTCTTCTTCTGAAGCTTCCCGGCCCTGAGAGCTTGATCTATACCCTCATTGTGCTGTATTACTGACTCTTGAAATTTTCCCATCCAATCCAGCAAACACTCGTCGATCTTTTTGTACATGGGCAGATACTCAATGTTTCGAAACGAGTCGGATACGCGTTTTTCCTTCGTATTATTGACGCTTTTGGCATGCTTTCCGCACGCAGCGCAGCGGAGCCATCTTTGACCGGCGGAAATCGAAAATTCTTCATCCTTTCTGAAGGGTGCTTGGCATTGATGGCAGCACAAGATTGGAACTTTTCCAATGGCCTCCCAACCCTCGTCGGTTTTCTGAAAAAATTTTAAAAGAAGGTGTGTTAATCAATGAAACGGGTTTGAGGGAATTTCGATAGGATGGGATTTTCTTTAATTTTCGGATCGCGGTTAGGTCAAACCAAAGTGTCAAAAAAAAATTCCGAAACGAAACTTCTTGGGAAACCGACCCGTTGTCTGTCGAATTTGTATACGCATTGTAGAAAGTCACATTTCGAAAAATCCGTTTTTCGAAAAGCTATATTTTCGAAAAATAGTTGTTTTTGGACGTTTCACATCATTAATTCGAAGCTTATTTTTCGAAAACCTTATTTTCGAAAAAGGCGGTTTTAGCAAATATTTTCGCGCAAATAATATTAGTTAATGAATTCGCAGCCTAATGGCTCCGGACAAGGACGTACCTGAAAGCATCGCTTCTGCATCTGTTCGATTACGATGTGAGCAGGTTTTGTGCTATCCCCGGCGCACCATACACAAACCAATCGTCCCCCGTCCACCACCGGCTTCCCATCCTTATCCGAATCAACCTCATCGGCAAATTGCGATAAGCACAGTGGACATTCAAAGCAAGTAAAACGCATCGCCTGCAATTGTGTGTTGCAGAAATGAGGCAGATTATTCATTAAAATAGCCGTGAAAAAATGTAAAAATTTCGAAAATTGGTATCTTGGGAATCAGAGTATTGAGAAGCAGGATTTCGGATTTTCAGCAGTTCGAATTTTTAAAAACTGGAACTTTTAAAATCTTGCCGTCTCCATAGCCTTAATCCGCATTAAGCGCTTCGGTATTTAATCGTCTAGGCCTGCATGCAGGATGTGGGAATTTAGAAACTTCAAAATTGATTTTGTAAATTCGATAATTTGAGATTCTGATGGAGGAGTTAGAAATGAAAATGGATTTTATGAATATAAGCATAACGCCATGCTTCCTTTCCTGCTAAAAATTTTAGATAAAAAATTTACTAGAATTTTGGACCTAATGATGAAAGGGTGAGGATCTAATGAAGCCCAGAAATATTAATCGATAAATTTCCCCCATAAACAAGTATACAAAAAGAACAAGCTGAGTATCCTCAATAAATTACGCCCGCAAAATCACCGAACAAGCGAAAAATAGTGCGTGATCGCGGGAGAGGGCAGCGCGCTCAGGATCGATCCAAAGGCAATTGGCTCCCGAGAGAGGAGATTGATAGATCCTTCCCATAACTCGGTTTTTTTTGGGTGTTCGGAGGCATCTCGTTTAGCTATACGGAATATCATAATTTCAGACCGTAAAAATTTTTTATGGTCGTCCACCGATCTTTTGGAAAAACCGTATTTCTTCTGAAATAACCCGCCCTCTAAATCCTACTATGTATAAATCCGATTTTGTCCCCACTTTTCACTTTCCAAAAATTTGTCTTCTTGCCAATATGATAAGGAAATCGGGGTCGACCCAGCGAGCCCTTATTTATTTCCTTTCAACCCCCAATGAAAAAGTTTGTTTTTGCAAGATAGGCCCAGTCTCGGGCTTCGAAGGGGGCACGCTGCTAGTTAAACATTTCCGCTACCACATTGCCATTAATTTCTTGCTGTGAGCTGGTCGACCTCTCCTGTTTGAAAATTTCTGGAGTTTTTGGAATACGATTTTATTGGCTTTTTAGTTTAAAAAACTCTTTTAAAAATTCGGTGAATTTGTTTAATTGAACTCCGCACGAACGCAAAACTTGCAGGAATGATCAGGAGACTTTTGATGTGGTATATACAAACACGATCGTCATCCTTATTTTGACAATTTTTTGGCATGCAAGCAATTAACGATGGAAAGAGCGAATTCCAGCCATAATACCGAGGGCCAAAATCCCGACCGCCATAATCCCGACAGCCAGAAACCGCATTTTTAAAAACATTTTATGAGTAAAGCGGCCGGCAGAAAAGCATGTTGGGATTATCGCTTTCGGGATTTTGGCTGTCGGTATTATCGCTGTCGGGATTTCGGATGACAGCATTATGGAGGTCGGGCTTTTGGTTGCCGGGGCTTTGGCATTTCCCCCAGAACGACAGTTCCATGCGCCCACGAAAAGCAACTTTCAGGAAGTATTGCCGTGGACAACACCACCATCTCAATTACGACTAGAGATGTTAAGAATCAATTAACAATCAAGATTATTTGCATACAATGGCACAATATTATTTGACGGGCGGGCTGACCGCATGACCAAGTAAAATAATAATATTTGACTCCGCTCGAGAAGACCTAGGAAGATACTTGATTTACTTGATTTACTTGATCAAAAATAGCTTTCTGGAATTTTGGCATTTTTCGGATGGTAATGAACTTTATGACATGATGCAAGCTAATTTACAGGTTCGCGGCACGATTGCCTTATTTTGCATTGCGAATTTGCACAAAATCAAGTAATTCCGCTGAAAATCAAGTAATTCCCCCAATCAATCAAGATCAAGTAAATCAAGTAATTTTATTTTACTTGATGCTTATTTAAACAAGCGGCGTAAAATAATTTTATATTTACTTGAAGATTTCAGATGCAAATAAAGTTGTTCAAGCAAATTTACTTGGTCATTATATTACTTGATTCGGGTTCTTTAGGATTTCCGGGGGAAAGTAATTTTCCGGGGGAAACCAAATTTTTTTCCTGGTTTTCCCGGTCGACCCACTAATCAAATATAAAAAGTGTTTCCATTGTTTTTGTAAATTTTAAGTATATTTAAAGTAGAAAAACCTTTCAAAAAAAGTTAGAAAAATGTTTGAAAAGGTCGAAAATTTAGTCAATTTGGGTCTTTCCCCCCCGCTAATCCTAAAGGTTCTATAGGATTTTTTCGACCTAAGATTAAATTTTTTTAATTAAAATGTGGGTAGTTTTTTATGCTCGGGACTAGTTAAAACCATTTAGAAACGATGCGCTATTTAGAAAAATTTAGGCTTGGGTCGAAAAATTGGTTTCCCCTGGAAATCCTAAAGAACCCTTGATTCGTAACATCTCTAATTACGACACCGAAGAACACCGCTGAAGATAATAGCGGTGTCGCGGATAACACAACAGCCTCATCTATTCTATACGCCTCGACATCGACAAGGAAGTGGCCAAAATTGCTGGGATGTGCCTGCCCGAAGAAGATGTCAATCAGTTCACCGGCAACCAAATTGGGTAGGGGGATATTCCAATCACTTTAAAGGTGCAGGATATTTCTTTTCAGGTAAGGAAATCCTACTATATAAAGGGTGTCCCGAAAAAATCGGCTCCAGAGAAAGGTCAGCTCGGGATGATAATTACGCCATTGAAAGCCCTTGAAACGGCGGGAAGGCAAGCGCTGTTCGTTTTGAACACTTATTAAGCCCGCACTCGATCTTAAACAATTTCACTCAAAACCCGTAAAATCAGCGTTGTCTTAATCGCTTGAGCAAGCAATTTATATGCGGGGTTTGCATAAGATCTTAAGTTTTCATGAATTTCCCGTGAATTAAGATGGCGTTACTTACTAGGGAAGTGCAAATAAAAAACTCACAAACCGCTTAGCAAAATATGGGTCTGATAGAGTCGGCGACGGGGTTCGAAACTGCAATCAGAATTTGCTAAACGCTTAATACAAAATAGATTACAAAACATTTTAGTTTTGTCCATGCTCCCCCTCCCTGCCCCTCCCAAAGATGGGTGCCCCTGTCGAGTGGTGTAGTGGCTAACTAGCATGCCTCTGGGGCGGAGGTCTCTGGTTCGACTCCCGGTATGCAAACTTTTCTTTTGGTCAAACTCAACAACTTTAGACTTTTTTCAAAGTTTCGAAGTCGAAAAGGTCGTTCTCTTAATTTTTAAATTTATGAAACTGATTGCAAAGTGGTGGCGGGAGTGTCAGTACTTTTGCGGATAGGGCACTAAAAATTCACTGCGATTTTTTCGTAAGGCAGGCCCTGGAGCAGTCAATAAGAAGAAAATTTAAAAATCGAAATCTTCGGACTTCGAAACTTTGAAAAGTCTAAAGTTGTTGAGTTTGACCAAAAAGCAAAGTTTTGCATGAACGGGGAGTCGAACCAGAGACCCTCCGCCCCAGGCAGCTAGTTAGCCACTACACCACCTCGACAGGCGGACACCCATCTTTGGGAGGGGCTCATAAGGGAGGGCGGATCATGTAGTACAAAACTTAAAATGCTCATAACTATTTTGTATTAAGCGTTTAGCAATTCTGATTGCAGCTTCGAATCCCCGTCGCCGACTCTATCATACCCATATTTTTGCTAAGCGGTTGGCTGTTTTTTATTTACTTCCTAGTTAGAACGAAGTACTAGTTTTTTTGCCTTTGCGAGAGCTTTCGATTGATACCTAAATATACCGATCGCATATCTCGACAAGCGTTTCCCTACCATTCGCACAATTTTTCGGCAAAAGTTTAAAGATGTTCGCGCAGCCGCTACGTCAGTAGATCGGAAGTTGGTTGATCGAATGATTAATGAGTTTTCTGCGCTCAGCACAAGAATAAAACGCGATAGCTTTAAGGATATTTGTGAATGGTTGAGCGGGCGTGTTGAGAAGTGAAGGGTACAAACATATAAAATTATCAATTCGATAAAGAGATAAAAATAGACTTTATGGGTTGCACACAAGAGCATGGTAATCTATCATAGCTAACCCTCTCTCATTCTCTCGCTTTCTCTCTCTCTCTCTCGTTCTCTCGCTCTCTTTCTCTGCCGTTCTCCGGCTTTTGCCTTTCAAATACACTTGGTTCCAAAAAGTACAAGTGGACAAAAGCTCCTGATAGCCACATGAGGGAAATGCGGAGATACCAGGGATATATTGCGTTAGGATCCGGAAATGAGGTCGACTGAGCCACCTCCTTTCTCCCCTCAGTGCTCCTCGCCAGCGGCTATGTTTATTCTAATCAGCACATCTGCATGATCATCCAGCGGCTTAATTGATGTGTATTTTCATCTCGTTGTCTGCAAATTTCAGTCATAAAATTTAGGTTGCAATTTCAGGTAATTAATGACAGTTACGCGAGCAGTTGTTATCAGTTTTGCCGTGGTTTTGTCTACCGGTAAGGATGAAAGTTATCCGGATGCTATATTTCACGTAGCTGTTTCAGCTATGGTATTCCTTCGGTGGTATGGAGCCAAGTAGAAAGTACCAAACCCAAATTGTTACGGGGAATCCCCAAAAAAATGTTTCACTAACATATAACTAAAACTACCAAGCTCGGAGGGAAATTTTGGGTCGAAAACTTTTAGTAGTGTGTATACACTCACTTAGTTTTAAAAATGGCCAATACTATTTAGCTCAAAACTTTGGAAATAACTCATTCATAAGCCTTGGCCCCTTCGACTTGTCGGCCTTCGGCCGTTTGGTGGTGTCGGGGGGTGCGCCTCGCGCCCTTTTTCGCCCTGTATGGAGCGCCCATTTAGAAAGTACTCCTACAAACATTGATTAACTGGAAACTTAACTTAAGAAATAAGCAGATTTCAGGAGGTGTGGCGACCTTGAGCACCACTAACGCGACGTCAACATCGACGACAACTGCCGCGGAAAACAGTACGTCCACTGAGCATGAGAAAACTTCACAACCACCCATCGACATCGACAAGGAAATGGCTG